GTCTGGCAGGTGTGTGCCAGGCAAGAAAGGCAGGGAACTCTCAGAGACAAGGGTAAGGATATGGGGAATTATTTCCAGAGAGCGTGGTAAGAGGGTTTGGGGTGGGGTGGGTGGGAGGACAGGTCAGAGGAGATGTTCACCCCAAAATGGGCCTGAGGTGCTGGGTGCTTTTCATAGGTCATCCACTCTCCTGCCAGCTCCTCCCCTCACCACCCTGCGGCTTACTCTCCCCAGAGTGTTCCGAGGACAGGACAGTGTTATTGGGTTGGAATGGACTTTATCTCTGTGCGTAGTGAAATTTTAGGAATGTTTTCTATCCCAAAGCAGTGTTTGTAAGAGGGAGATTCCTTCTTCTTGGCCATATGACAGCACGAAGCCGTCTTTTATTCAGCACTGATTGCTCAGTATTGCGTCCCATTCTGGGAATGCGTTATCTTCTAAAACTGAAAGAAGCTTCATTACACATCAGATGCGATAGCGATTGTGAACGTGCTTTGAAGAGTAGAGTGTGGCACACTGGTTCCCGGTTCTTTTTGATTGCAGTGATTTTTTTTGTTTGCTTTAGGAACGGACATTTATTTTCTCACAGTTCTCGAGGCTAGCAGTCTAAATTCAGGGTACTGGCTGTGCTGATTCCTTCTGAGGGCTCTCTCTGAGTTTCTGGTGGCCGCCGGCAATCCTTGGCGTTCCTTGGCTCTTAGATGGATCCTCACGTGTTGTCTTCCCCCTGTGGTGACTCTATTTAGGTGTCCATGCTTCTCTTTTATAAAATGCCCCTCAGAAGGGATTAGGATTAGGACCCAACCTTTTCCAGTGTGACTTTGTTAACTGATAACATCTGCAAAGAACAACCCTATTCCCCAAACAAGGTTACATTCACCAGTGGATGGGTGAGGACTTCACCAAATCTTTTTGGGTGACACAAATCCATAACAACAAGGTTGCTGTCATGGCCAGTATAATGGAGTCTTCATCAGAGGTGAAGTGTGCCAGTGGTTAAGTGTTTGGCTGCTAACTGGAAGGTCAGCTGTTCAAATCCACCAACCACCCCTTGGAAACCTTATGGGGCAGTTCGGAATCGACTTGATGGCAATGGGTTGGTTTGTTTGTTTTTTCTGGTAACCCAAACGAGTTGTGTATTATTACACATGACACTGCATGCTATGTCTTGAGTTTCTGCCCTGTTTTAGGTGCTATCTGCATAATACTTCCTCTTACAAGGAATCTGATGATAAGCACTGTTAGCTTGTTTTTTCAGAAGGCGAGGATCCAGTAACTTATAAGCTGTATGTGTGGGCTTTATATGTGAGCTATAAATCACACAGCTGATAAATGGCAAAGACAAAATTAAAGAAGTATCAGATAGAATGCTTTTGGCTACAACTAACAGAAAATGCCAACTCAAAACAATTTAGTAAGAAAATTCATAATCTAACTAACCAGATGTCAGGAGGTTGGATGCCTGTACAAGTTGCTGTTGCGTCGATTCTGACTCATGACGACCATGTAGGTATCAGAGTAGAACTGTGCCATATAGAGTTTTCAGTGGCTGATTTTTTGGAAGTAAATTGCCAGGCCTTTCTTCCGAGGGCAAGAATTTTTTTTTAGGTTAATTCTTGTTCTCACATGATGGTTGTATATTCAGTATCCATTGAATGAGAAAATACTAAATGACAAGCTGCTAGGAATTCAGACGCTCTTAGATGACTGTTGGTTTTTATTAATGATAACAGTAGTTACATACATGTGGAAAATGCTAACTTTTGTTTTCTTAGTCTATATTTAGAGCAGTCAAGAAAGTAGACTCTGGGAAGCAGGATATGCATGATGGGTTCAGACTTGCCAGAAATGCTTGCTTCCGCAGGGCCCTGGAGCTCACAGATCACAAGTCGCCACTGTGATGTGTGGCATACATATGCAAGGTGTTATTATTATTAATTGCTGTAATTACATAGGACCAGATGTTATAATAGCATTCATTTTAAGTGGCATTCTGCCAGCAACAGGTGAGGGTTTAAAACTCTCTTACCAATCTGGTTGTCAAGCCTTGTCTCCCCTGTCCCTGTAGCTAAGGAAAAGCTGATTTATTTAGAAAGGAAATCCAGATGGTCTCAGACAGCTAAGTAGTCCTTTAAAGCTCTTTTTTTAAAAAAAATCATTTTGTTGTTGAGATGTTGTTATGTAGCAAAACATAACACCAATTCAGCAGTTTCTACATGTACAGTTCAGTGACATTGATGACATTCTTCAGGGTGTGCAACCATTCTCACCCCCCTTTTCTGAGTCGCTCCTCTTCCATTAACATAAACTCACTGCCCCCTCAGGTTCCTGTCTAATCTTCTGAGTTGCTTCTGTCAGTTTGATCTCATAGAGATAGTTCTTAAAGAGCGTTATGCTCAAGGAAGACCTTCTTTACTAGTTAAGCTTAACTGTTGTTCGGTTTTAAGGTGACTTCAGGGAATATTTTTCGTTTAAGTTTTAAAGATTATCTCAGGGCAGTAGTTTCAGGGGCTTATCCTGCCTCCATGGCTCCAGAAAGTCTGGAGTCCATGAGAATTTTAAATTCTCTGTTTCCCCCCCTTTGATCAGGATTCTTCTATGCAGTCTTTGATCCAAGTGTTCGGTCATGGTAGCTGGGCACCATCTAGTCCTTCCGGTCTCATGGCAGAGGAGGCCTTTAAAAAGCTCTTGATGCAGCCGTGCACTCCCAAAACACACAGCCGTGATTGCAGAAGCACTTGAATCCCAGTCGGTTGGGACATACATTTTTGGAATTATTATTTTACCTGATAAATGATTGAATTTCATATCCCACGCCCTTTTGTGGGAGCCCTGGTGGCACAGTGATTAACAACTACAGCGAGCTCAGCTGCTCACCAAACGGTCGGCAGTTCAGATCCACCAGCTGCTCCTTGGAAACCCTACGGGGCAGTTCTCCTCTGTCCTGTAGGGTTGCTGTGAGTCGGAATTGACCCGACGGCAGTGGGTAAGGCTTTTGTGAGGTGCTCAGCACAGTGTTTTAGGGTGGGAAATGTGTTCCGTTCAGACAGCTGTGGTTTACAGAGAATGGTTAAAGCCTTGAGTTGTTCCAACGTGGGTTTCGTGTTTAGTTTCTGGGATGGAGGTAAATTTAACAGTAACACTAATAGCTCTCATTTTTGTAACTTTCTGGAACTAACAGGCAGAAAGTCTATTTACATTTTGTGGGTGGAATTTTATGGTTTTACTCTGACCAAGATTTTGTTAACGTTTTTCAGGGAAAGTGATTTTCAGATGAAATTGGCTCCAGAGCAGAGGCTAAAATAGTGATCTTAGTATCTTACGTCCATGATCTGTTTTAGCCTCACAGCTCTCAGAGGAGAGAGGCCGTTTTACACATGAGCGTCTGAAGTTCACAGAGATTAACTGGCTGGTCCGGGGCTTGCAGCTGGTAAGTGGAGCAGCTAGAACGTGGCTGTAACTTTCCTCCTGTCGTTGAAAACTTGTGGGCAGGGCCTTTCTGCTGGGGCCCTCAGCCTTGCAGGTTTGGGTCCATCTGCTAAGCGGTGGCTGTGAAAACGGTTGTGTCGTTGCTGCAGTACCAGTGAAGTGCCTGGAAGCAAAGCCCTGTG